TAGTCGAGGACCTTGGTGATTGAAATGAAATCAAAATCTGGTCAGCAGTCTGGCCTCGTAGCTCAGTTGGTAGAGAACTGGACGGAGAATCCGATGGTAGATGGATCAAGCCTTGTATCGGGCCAGATTTTCATTGCACTTTCCATCATCACCCAGTATTAGTACAACTATCTCAGGTAGTCAAACTGATAACTTCACTTAAGTTCTAGCTACTTGTATGTCAAGTCAAATTTAACGTTAACTACTAAGAAAACAGTTTTATCAATCTAGTGAAGTGTTGTTATCACCTAGTTTACGTCATCCTGCAAACGTGATTCGTCACAAACGAATCCGGTGTCATGCAGTAACCGATTTTAAGGTACATAGTTCTTCGCAGTCTGATTTCTTTAATTTGGAGGTTTGTGGGGATTTATTTGTCGATTTCAGGTTGGTATTCATCATGAGCTGACATCAGTTGGAGAAACATTAGAAACCTGGGAGCATTGGACATCCGTTTCGTTCTAGTATAGGAGAGGTGGTTCCTGAAGTTCTAATGGGAAGTTGTGACTGGTGGGGTCAACCAAGTCGAATATGAGGACAATAATTCATGAACAACGTCATTGGATGGAGGTCACGCTACATCGTAAACTGACTGAAGCAGAAAATGTGGACCCAGCTGCTCAATCCTAAAGTGTTCGCGGTGGACCTGTGCACGATCCCTCGTGGGTGTGCAATGCTTATGAATCCCATACTAGGACGAAACGGCTGTCCAGTTCTCCAACCGATGTCACTTTATGATAAATACCAGCTTGAAACAGACAAATAAGTCTTCACAAACCTCGAAATTAAAATCTTTTAGAAAAAATAGTCAACAGATTGCATCTATTCAGTGATATACTTCAGTAGTAAATGGCTAGCTTCAGTTCACGTATGGAGGGGTTTCTATATTCGACTATCCAATTCTACTTAAGCAACCGAGTAGCGTCAGTGTCTCTTTCACGAAAAGTAATAAGTCGGCTTAGCACTGTGTACGGACGTGGATACACAGTTGTTGAGTTACAATATTCATTACTACAGACATAAGTAAGGTTCTTCAGTCTCTGAACAAGTCTATATGACACTGCCACTTACAATGTTTGAACTCCAGCCACTATATATATATATATATATATATATATATATATATATATATATATATATATATATATATATATATATATATATATATATATATATATATATATATATATATATAATTGAAGAGTTAGAAAAAGAATTTTCTAAAAACAGCTTTTTGTGATGTCATAGCATACAAATCCCTGTCGTTGATTGGATCGAACTGATCGGGCACTACTGAGGTATGGGCTTCTGTATGAATGCCAAGCTTTAACAGCATAACTATGTTATGCCAGTCGCACAAGGAGTGATTGTTATAACTCAGTGGTTGGCGCTCTGAGATTCGAAATGATTAGTCTTAGGTTTGAGACTTTGTGGGGACAATACCACTCACTGGAAGGAAGGTACGTCCAGTTGACGTGTTCAAAATAAAACGAAAAGCGTATCGAGGTGGATTCCACTCCCAAGCGCTATCTATCGTTCATATTACAAGCCTTTCTTGCCTTGAAATTTCAAATTTGTATTTTAACTATGATTATCAAGTAAAAAAAGCGCCAAAACTCAGCTGCTTGGAGAGGTGAATTCCTTCAACTGAAGATCTTATATCGTAATCTACCTTTTATTTCCAGTCTTCATTATCAATCTGTCACTCAGTTGGTGAGCACCGACTAATGCCTTGAGTAGTGTTCAGCTCTAATAATTTTTTTCACAGCTACTGGTTACTCACCAACGTAGGCTTATAGTAAGGTATGAAAAACATGAAATATTTTCACCGGTATATTACTCATCAACATTATGAAATACATCCAAGGTGGCTGAAATGTAAAAGTGTGAAAGTTAAATGAAAATTATTACAGTTGGCTCGCTACATTGTTTTTTAGAGATAGAGAATAAATGTGTAGACCAGTGATGTGTAAGAGGATTATTGGTCGAAGTTGGAGTAAAACACAAGACTCAAGAAGATTTGAACTACTAACTTCAAGGTTGCCGACCTGATACTTCTTTTACTGAATACCCTGTTCGCCTGCTAATCAGAACCTAGTTTCAAATCTCCTTAGTTGAAAAGTTCACAACACTTGAGGGTGTTTTTTTTCTATTTGCCGTTTCGTTTGAAACAAGGTGGTCTGAGTTTCATCTAAGTCAGCTTTCTTATACACATATGCAAACGGTGCAGCATCAGTATATTAACATATTTTAAAGGTTCGCTAGATGATAGATGCCCAGGCAGTTTTCATCATCAAGTGTCATCCACGAAAACAAGCTAAGAGTTATTGAACATATGCCTATCACTATTTTAGTAATATCCAACCACACAGGTTAATAAAACCCTACGGAGTAGAATCCAGAGCCTTAATATATTTGAATAGTTCACAATTCGCTATTTCTGTCCATTCGTAACATAATACCACTATTAGGCAGAATTAATCGGTTTGTAGATTCAGAGTCTCAATTCACAAGATATTCAACCAACCCTTAATGACTATTCTGGTTGTAACGACATTCCCTATGCTGCTAACCGATCAGGTGTAAACTAGTGAAAAAGCACATAAAACAAACAAGACAAGCTAACTTTAAGATTTAAGCCTACAGCACCCACAGGCGAAATTCCTAATGCTTAATAGTTAATTCATAAATGAATACACGAAGATAATTGGATAAATCAGTCCAAACGCTTCTTAGCTGTTACCTAAATTATAAGTCTTCTATAAGTCACCATAGTATTCATGGTTTTGATACTTCTCAATGAATGAACGTAAATGACGTTTCGCCATAATTAGTACTGCTAAGTTACAGTAAACCGGAATTTACAATACTCCCGAGCCCATATATGATAACTTGATATATGTTCTTCTGCATGAATGATCTTGAGTTATCAAAATGTTGAACAAAGATAATATCCATTTTTAGTGTACTGTATGTGAATTATAGATTGAGATTTGTATGTACACCTGTGTTAGTAATTCTTATCGCATGTATGTTGGTTATGCCAGTCTGTGGAGGTGGGTTGAGACCAGGTCAAAATACTTTCTATTTCCTCATTCTTATTTAGGCAATTTCAATCCAACTTTATGTGAAGAGATTCTGCAGTGAGATGTTCATGATACTTTCTGAATTATTTCAACGTTGCCAAAATCGTTCTTGTGACCTGAGATTATAGTGTGCGGAGATATGGCTGAAGTGCTTTAATTTTTTTCAGCTCTACTGGATTTTTAAAGCGTTACGTAGAAGCCCTTCGGTGTTCATTTCTTTTAAATTTTGATTTCACAGGAAGTTTTTCCTAGGTATTCCGCACAGCAGTCTAAGCAATTTATTTTTCAGACGCAGTTGGATTGTGAATCCAGATAAATTTTGTTATTCACACGGACTAAGGTGCTCTGCAATGTGCTTGATACTCTATAACACTTTAACTGACTGATAAAATCAACGTAGAACCTTGCACACAGGTGCATCGACTGGAGTTGCCAAACTTCACAGTAATACAAAAGAACAGGTTGATGGAAAAAGGGTGATATCAAAGCATACAAAGTTGTGTGAAGGAATAAAAAAATCTAAAGATAAGTTACTGCGAATATTCAAGCTTTACAACATGTCATGGAGTGAATATATGTGCACTGCTGTCACCAGTTTTCAGCCATGTTACCAAGAATCCTCAGCCACTGATTCTTATCGCCTCGAGGACCCCAATCAGGCAATCTACATATTTCTATAGTCAGGGGCTTCATCGACTGATGCCAAGTCCTGGTCTGATTACCCAGAGTCTTCTTCGAACCTAATTCATTTGTTGAATTTTCTCCTAATCTCATTAAAGGATGATCGGTATGGGATGACAATCGTTGACGCCTATGTACTTCTACCATTTAATGTAATTTTCTATTTTTCACCTGATAATTATTCATTTTAAGAAACTATTTCGGGGTTTCAATTTCAGCAACAATCGAAAGTTATTATTGATTCATGATTTAGCACCAATTAATGAGCCAGTATTGGAATCACTACCTAATGACGAAGCGCAGATTGTACGTCAAGTCAATTATTACATCAAGTAACACTTGAGTGAACTGAATTACTGTACAATTAATTTTGAAGTTTTTGGGGACTTACTAATTTCAGGTTGGTATTCATCATGGACTAATATCAGGTGGAGAAACATTGGGAGCACTGAACAGTTATGGGACTCCTCAGCACCCATGACCTAGCTAGGAATCGGACCAAGGGTATCCAGATTCCGTGGCCAGCACGTTACCGTTGAGCAACTCGGTTGGAATTCAGTGGGCCATATTTTCAACTTGTCAGTTCACGATATAGCGCAACGTCCATCCAATGCAGTCGTTGAGTAACTGTTCTCATGTTCGACTCGGTTGGGCCCAATGGTCACTTCTCATCGGAACTTCGAGAATCACATCTCGAAGCTAGTCACACTGAGTACTAGATTAATTCAAATTTGAGGTTTACGGGGAATCATCTATTGATTTTAGGTTGGTATTCTTCAGTGGCTCAATGGTAACGTGGTGGATAAGGAACCTGAAGGCCCTGGGCTCGAACCCTGGTGGGGCCATGGGTGCGCACTGCTGAGGACTTCTATAATAGGGCGAAACAGCTGTCCAATGCTTCTCCAACTGATGTCACTCCATGATGAATACCATCCTGATATTGTACAATTCACTAGCTAATCTATAAGAAGCATTATATCACCATCATCATCACTATGATTATCAGACTATAAGTTCACTTTTCAACAAATCACAAATAAAAGTGATAGTAAGTTATCTTATCCAAATCCACATGATTTACTGGCTTATTCGAACTTGTTTTACAAAGGTTAAGCTCAATTTTATAGCAATATATTTATTTGTAAATATGTATGGAAGAGAATAAAAATTATATCATTACGAATCATCAATATTTCATACAGTTAACAATTGTACAACTGGTTTATAAGCAATTATACAATCATAAGCTTCTTCTTGTGAATTAAAGTGTATTCGGTTTTTAAGCCATTCAATTCTATCAAAACCACACTGTTCCAGCGCTAAGACATAAGCTAATGGGTCAGGGTTACCATATTGAAACCACCCACGTTCCATGAAATCAACCAATTGTTTTGATTGGAAGGTTGTAACAATACGTCCATTTGGATGAAGCATTTTCCAAATCTTTCCTAAAGAGTAAGTTAATGATGGCCAGAAATAAAAACAGTCCACATGAAAACATGCATCAAATAAAGGTTGCACAAATGGAAGATGATCTACACTTCCGTATTGCAACTCAACACGATTTGCGAGAACATACGGCCATAACTTTCTGAAACAGATGCAAGAATATACGCATATATATATATATATATATAGGAATTATCAAAAAGACAAAAGTGTGACAAATTATAAAGGGTTATTAACTCCCCCCTCCTGTTTGTAATTCATCAATCACTAAACTGACAAGTGGAATGTTGTATGGTTAAGTGGTTCCATTGAATTACGTGTAAGTGTAGTAGGTTTAAACACAAAATCGAATCTTAGTGCTGGTATTATCTTAGTCGGAACAATACCGCTCACTGGGGTGCAGGTACATCCAGATGACCAGTGGATCATAAACAGAACGAAACGCGCGTCAAACTGAATTCCACTTCTAATCACTATTCATCATTACTACAAAATCGAATAGTTGAGGGACTCAATGCTTCATAAACTAGTAAATTTACAAGCATATTGATAGATTACACAAAAACTGAATATCTTGAAACAGTTTTGTTACCATAAATCTTCGTCAGTTAGAAAAGAACTGAAGACCAAGAAGTACTCAATATCTATTGTGTATGCACTCCTAAAAACAACAGCTGTGGGCTCGGTCCCAGACAGTGGTTAAAGATACACTCATATAAGAAGTATTAAGCTAGTAAGAAATAATTAAACTGACAAAACTTGAATGATACTCTTTACTAGTTACAAAACTCGATTAAATTCGAAGCATGTTGTTATGATACTTGTAATTTCCTGTTGCTGTACAGGACCGGATCGCTTTGACGTTTCAAGCAATGGGTACTGGATTCGAGTCTAAGTGGGAACAATATCACTCACTGGGAAGAAGGTACATCTAGCCAACGAGTTCCAAATAGGATGAAACGCACGTAATGGATTTCTCTGCTAGTCAGCAACATGAATAAATTAAAAGCAATTTGATACATCAGAAAAGATTCCGTATAAATTATTAAAATAATTTTGTACAGTAAATAAAAAGTTAGAACAAACTAAATATTTTTTTACTCATAAATCAATTTCTATGAAGAAACACAAAACTCCTGGCATATTATATACTAATATAGAGATACACAACAAACAATGAAATGCCAAAGGGAAGCAAGATAAGGTAGAATGATAATAATATAAGAAAATGAATTCTATTCCTTTGAAATAGAACAAGATACACGCGCATCTTTGTTTTTATAGCTCAAACTTTACGGAAGCAAGATAATGATAATGAAAGATCCTATTGATTCAGTTGGGCAGAATTAACTCCATTAACCTTCAAACAAAATAGTTTAGTCTAACAAATAAAAAGTAATTGACCAGGGTCAACTAAGTTGTCTGAGTACAAAAACCCAGCTAAGTCAAGATTACTAGATCCTGGTAAGATAAGGAATTTAGAGAAAAGCTTGGCCACAACTATACATGCAATTCCCCACAACCGTAAAATAGGGACAAGTAGAATAACAGTGTTAAGAACTAACATACTTGAGTAGACAGAGAGAGAGATTGATAACCGAATCTTTGTTTGTCGAACCAACACCTAATACATGCAACAGGAATAACTCAACACCTGTCCAGGATATATATGGAAAATCCTACGACTTATACTACAAAGACAGCGATAGAACTGGAACTACATAAAGCATATCTCAAAGTTATGCAGTTATCTTAATACGATTGTAGACAATACATAAATTGTGTCGGAAATGCAATCCACTGTGTCACATCTAATAAATCAACGGTGTCTTTTCTCAATACAAAGATTCATCTTGATTGCTAAAATTAGAAAAACTAGAAAGTAACAGACTTCTCACCTGATTCCAGGAGTTGAACACCAAATACGTGTCAATTAACCTAGAGATCACATTGCAAATGCCGTAGACAGATAGAAAGATAGACAATGATCAACACTAAGAACGTCATAGCAACATGCTTAACCTTCTGTTGACCAAGAAGGATATAAACTGGTTCCAAATAGGATTAGTTGCGACCTGAACAGCCTTATTAATAAAATCTCAGTTCCTCCGAAAATTGAGTCATATGAATACCAATTTTTTACAGGAACATTAATTCCCCTAAGTATGATGAAAACGCAGGCACAAAATCTAGGTTCAAGACACCCACTCGAATAACTTCTTATATCTTATAATTAATACACTGAAAATTATTGTTGCATCAACTTAGCTCAGTAGTCAAACTGTAGACTAACTGGATAAAGTTCGAGCAGCACACACACATTCAAAGAGAACCGCTGCACGAATAAACATTACACGACAACATGAAGTTCAGGTCCCTTAATTACTCAACACAATAAGTGGATTTCTTAAAATAGCATTATAATTATTATTACGTTTCCCTTGGGTTTCTGGTAGAACATAGGGTTTGAGTAGCACGCCTCCATCGCACTCTGTTCTTTGCAATCTTTTGAACCTGGCACCACGACTGCCCACATCGTTTCATTTCTTCCTCATACCATCTCCTCCATGTCACCCTAGAACACCCAACTCGTCGTTTCCCCTTTGGGTTCCACTCGAGGGCCTGGCCTGATGTGTGATGTCCTCAAACAGTCTTTTCAGTGTATGTCCAATCCAGCTCATCTCCACTTCCTTCTGCATATTTGTTGGGCAATGGGTTCTTGGTTGGTTCGTTGATAGCCAGAGTAAGTTCCTTGTTGCTTATTCTTTCTGGCCATCTGATGTAGTCTTCAGTATTGAGCGAGTGTAGGCGGCAGCTGTTGATGTATGTCTGTAGTTTGTTGGAAATGCTTTTCGCGACGCGCCAAGTCTTTCAACCATCACATAGAAGTACTGACTTGAAATTGGTGTTGAAAATCCGGGTCTTGTTGTTTATGCGGAGTGCAGTGCAGTAGATCTCCACACTGATTTCAGATTAATCAAGACTCCTCTTGGTTTTCCGATCCTAGCTTTGACATCATCTGCTCCCGTGCCACCTGTAGTTGAAACGATGCTGCCTAGGTAGGTGGGTGATAGATGAAGGAGATAACGTCGTTTAGATTTCTCCGATTGATGATGATTGTTGCTTGTTGTTATTGTTGTTGGTTGGGTATTTACATCTTCTCTGTCTTCTCTTCGTTCACCTGAAGTCCCGTCTTCTCTGCCTCACCTCTTCTGCGAACTTGTTGGTTTTCACCTGTAAATCTTCGAGCTTGTGCGACATTAGACATAAGCCACCATCGGTGAAATCCAAATCTTCTAGGATCTTTTCATCGGTCAAACAGCATATGCCTATCATCTCGTTTCTGACAGTTTTCCGCTGCATGATGCAGTCAACCACAATCACGAAGATAATCGGTGATAGTACGCAACTTGGTGTTACTCCTCCCCCAAACCGAAGGCGTAACGGACGTTTCAATTAAAACTCAAATGGCATCTAGTGTCGCCATACAGCTGAGGAAGGTTCGTACAAATTTCTGTGACTAAAATCGTAGTGCTGTAAAAGTTGAGAAATTACTTATCGCTCGACGCCGTCGTAAGCCTTTATATTTTCAAAACATTAAAGCCTGGAAAAACTGAAAAACTCGGCTTTGGTACCTAATTTTCCTTCACTATGTCTCCCTTGTTTGGGAGTTTGACAAGGTAGCCCTTCTTCCAGTCAGTAGGCAGGTACCTTTCCTTCCAAACCTTCTGCATTAGTGGTGTGAGCATATGCGCTGTTGTCTCTGCGTCTGTTTTCACTGCTTCTGGCGGAATTCCATCTGGTCTGCTGCTTTTCTGGCTTTCAGTAACTTTATGGCATTCAGGACTTCTGCTTTTGTCAGAGGGAATGTGTTCACTGGTAGTTCTGTGTCTGGGCTTCTGGTGATATTTCTGGACGAGTTGCAGGTGGTAGTGTTGGCCGATTCAAGAGTTTTTTGAAGTGGTCAGCCCATCGTTTTCTTTGTTTCTCCTCTTTGGTAACTAATTTTCCTTCACTATGTCACGTTGGTTTCGTCTGCGTTGATCTCTCCACTCCCGGATAGTAACGTGGTTATTTGATATAATGTTGTCAGGTCTCTCCTACCAGAAGCTTGTTCTGCTTCACTCGAAGATGTTGTCTTTCCGCGCACTCCTGTTCACTTCCTTGTCCAGTGTAGTGTTTTACACGTTGTACTCAGTTCCCTTTGTCGTTGTTCACCCCTGCACTGTACTGGTTCATCTTTTGCTTCACCATGTTCCTCTCCCTTCTCTGTCAGCTTCGATGTATCCGTGGAGATCCATTCCTTGTCTTGTTTCTTCTTCCTTTCTAATACGGTTATTCAGGTTCTCTTCACACCTCTTTCAAAGAGTTCCAGTGTTCTTCCATACACGTTTCTTCAAGGATATTACTTAATGTCTCCCATTTTTCAACTTTCAACTTGATTTTGAAGGTTTCTTGCACTAGATATTGAATGGTGTGAACCTACATCTGCTCCCCTTCTTGATCTTGTGTCCAGTAGGCTATGTCTCCATTTCCTTGAGACTGAACTGAAGTCGATCTGACTTTTAGTGTGTCCATCTGGTGAAATCAAATCCATGTCGCTTTGTGAATATCTTTGTGTTTGTACACACTGCCTCCAATCAACAAATCATAAAAGGTACAGAAGTCTGAAAACAGTTCTCCATTCTCATTGATTTCACCGAGTGCTTCTCGACCTATGATGAGTTCTCTTCCTCTGTTGTCCGCTCCCAGTTTTGCATTCATGTCATCCATCAGAGTTTTGATGTCCTCAACTGGGTTGGGGTCTTGTCCACTACTGATTGCAGTTGTCTGTAGAATCTCTCCTTCTTCTCTTGATTTGCATTATTTTTAGGTGCGTAGCGTAGCATTGTATAATTGTCTTTCCTTTCTTGTGAGTTGAATCTTGCCGTTATGATCGTGGAGGAGATTGGTTCCCATTGCCTGAGAGCCTTTGATGCTCTCGGGGACATCATGATAGCCACTCCAAAACTCAATGTGCTTGTGGTTGTTGTCTGGGTGACAATATCGGAGTAGATTATTGACTCTTCAGTTAACGGTTTGGAGAGCACTTCCATTCCATCAGCTTTCGCAGATTCCAAGCACTTCCGTGCCATACGTCCTCGTCTCTTTCGCAATCTGGACAGCCTTTCCAGCCAGCTTCAAACATTGTGCGGACATTCCACGTAGTCATTCTTGCTTTTGCTTTCATCGAGAGAAGACACATCCACCGACTGGTTTCCCTAAGGCTTTCACCAACCGGGGTCATTTCGCCTCTCCGATTCCAGCGAGGAATAAGTTTGTTTTTATTTTTCATTTTTTCTTTGTGCTTTGAAGTTTGTTTAGCGGTTGGATTGGCTTTACGGGGTAGGGCTGCTAGCCTTATGCCCAACCTTCCCTTTTTATGCGGGATAAGGAACGGCTAGCAAACTAGTTAACCACCATGAAAAACTTTTAAACTCTTCTTCTAACTTCTTGGTGTAAACGAAGTGAGTGAGACATTAAATCAACTGATATTCTCCATCAACTCCACAATTCAGATCAAGAACAAGCAAGAGTACTTTTTACTTTTCAAAACTTTAACGGCTGGAAAAATTTAAAAGTACATCAATATAAGTGTAAAACCTGAGGATTGTGGTAGAATGCAATTCCATATTAGATTTGTTTATTTGATGTATAACCCACAATGATACAGTATTATTTACTTGATCACGTTTCGATCATAAATTGTCTGCTAATAAACATATCAATGTGGTCAAACGACTCTCAACATCTGATTTTTAAAAAACTATCACCGCATTTTCTTTATTTGCATTGGTAGTAAAACTTTCCACATCTCTGGTGTGGGTGTTGCATCATTCCTATTACATGCATTCAGTGTTGATTCGATGAACAAAGACTCAGTAATCAATCTCTCTCTCTCTCCGCCTAATTATCTAGGACAGTGGCTTTATTCCATCTTATTATGTGGTTGTGTGTTAGTGCATCTATTGCAATAGCCGAGTATTATTTCAAATTATTCATCCTGTTGGGGTCTATCATTCTACACTTGGCCAAATTCCTATATTCCGCTAATTTAACCGACCCCAACCGGCTAGTTTGACCTCTTCGTCATTGCATGAGATTTGATAGATTAGATTATTACTCTGCTGAGTTGGATCTTTAGAATCCCTGAGCTGAAAAAACTGTGTAAAGCTTTTAATGTCCCTTCCTTATATGATGGTAATATACGTTTTTGGAAATTAAACTAACATTACTTTCTAGTAGATTATTTGTGAAAAACAATTGTTTGTTTATTTGTTATGTACACTTACTCACATAAGAACTTGAATTTTTCTGATGCGGTTAACGTGAGAAAGATATGTGGTTGCTAAGACACTGGTGTTCTGACTCAACCCGTTGTTCTGCAGTTTTTACAAATCGGTGGTTTGTTTGATAACTTACACATGATAACCAACCTCGTTCCAATAGACGTCAACGCAAAATCCAACCATCTACTTGCGAAGAACCCCGGTTTCGATCGTACGTCAAGTGATTCTACAAGCAACATCATTGAAATTTGTGGAATTCGGACTAAAACATACATTCAAGTAGCTGATAGTTGTAATAACTTTGATATTTAATATCTGTAACGTGTTATGTGTTCATTAATCCTATTTGACTTTGTTTTTCGTGTGACATATTGGTTAGTCTGACTCGAACTATTCTCCTTACCCTCAGTGGTTAGTTCACCACAAATAATGTCGTCTACAGCAAATGAACGCATTCTAATAGGTATCTAGATTTCAGGTCATTTAATCCAATGTCAGTCAAGGTAGGTTTAGTTAAATGTCCAAATAATACGGCTAAAAAACTCAAAAGAAGTTCCTTTGACCACTTTCATTACTGTGGCCATCAACATGATGTAACTTTTAGTATTACTTTGTACGCCTATCTCTCCACGCTCTCCCCTTTGTTTTTAATCAATATTCATTTTTAAAATTTATCATCTTTATGAGTTACTTAAAATTTATAATTATTGTTCGCCAACCCTGCCCTTCCACCACTTGATTGGTATTTTGACTGGATTGTAAAACTATATATTAATGTAGAGCCCAAGACGAAAACCTAATTGGGAAGGAATACATTTCTTTGCTCAATTAGTTTTTTTTCCTCTAAAAACTCAAGTCAATCCAACGACTTAAATAAGGAGTTGAAACAAATAAAAGAATATCTGCTAATTAATGATTATCTTCTACTCTTAATTAAGAAATTTGTAAGAACACATAAGAAACGAATTTTTAATAAAAGTATAAGTATAAACAGAAAGAAGTTCAAAGCTTCTACCGTGTTATCACCAAATAAAGAGGGGAAATCAGAAATTCCATGCAGAATTATCAACAAGGATGAAATTATGATAGGAATTCATCATCATCATTATCAACATAGGACCAGGCATTACTGCGTAACGGTCCGAGTTGCCACACCTCACGTCAGTTCATTAAGTAAAAAGGTAGTGAGGTGAAGGATGAAGATAAGTGAATGCAGTCAAAAGAAATATAAAGTACGAGAAGAAAGGAAAGAGGAGTGACAAAATAGTGAGATTCGGTATAGCGTCGTTTAAGATGAGGATAATGTGTGCATACGTCTGCGCCACTGACGTCGGTTCTGAGCCATATCACCTAGGGTCTCCAACTGCTGGTTCCTCTTGTCCCGCGGACCCCAACCACCTAGTCTGCATCGTCCTACATGGCTTAAACCAACATTCAGAGACTTCATACATTGGTGCCATGTTTTAGTCTGGCCACCTCGGGCCTTTTTCCAGCCTGGACCCACCTCAGCCAACATTGTGTGACGAGGCAATCGGTGACTAGGCGTACGTAGTACGTGTCCCAACCTATGATAGGAATTAAACTTACAAACTCACCTAGAGATAAGCTTTGTCGGCTAAATGATCCAACAGATCAACTTCAGCAGGATAATTTAATCTACTAAATCCCGCGCAGTGACTGAGAGGTCAAGTACATCGGTCAAACTACCCAGTTAGAGTCACTTAGATTAGCGAAACATGGGAATTTAGCCAAAGAAGACCAATAAGATCAATAAAGTAGAAAAACATTCGGTTACTGTAATGCACTATCGCCCAAACCTCTGAACGTAGAGCGGGATTCGAAATCGTGACCTAATGGTTGACAGCCATCTTCTTAACCCAATGACCCACAGCTGCACAAGGGTACTAGACAACCAAATTCATCAACCTTTAGACACATTACAGATATAAGCCACAAGATTCATACTAAAATTAGACTGTTATTACTTTTTTTACATTATATGATGTGGTCCTTGTTAAACTGTTGACATCATAGACACAAATTAATTATATTGCGACTTACCTCATAGCTTTTCTACACATATATTCTGAAATTTCTACACCATAGACAGACCCATCGTCTTTAAAAATGTCAGAGTTAACAGTTGGACTTTTAAGATACCTTTTTAGGAAAAACATTGATGCAGAAGACTTCAAATGACTAGACGTTGCAGGAGCGACGCGTTCAACAGCTAATTGGATACCATGACCTTTCCCAAATCCAATCTCTATAACATTTTCGCCTGGACTGAAAAATGATATTTAAAAAGACTATGCTTTGTAATTCGTTAACTTTTTTGCTTTTTCATTTTCGACAGCAAAAAACGGTGATAATTCGCTAGTGTTATCCAAGTTTTGAAGTTAGTTGTGGGACGTTTCATCACCACCCTTAGAGACTTCATCAACACTTATTTCGCATAGAAAAGAAGCGTTTACAGACAACGAGAATGTCTATGAGAGAAATTTGACGACCTTAGGTGTTACTGGTAGGGGTGACCTGGCTGCCTTTTTACCAGAGATGGACCTTTATAAGTGATGTTTTCGTTTAACCTATATTGTTGACCTAATGTCTGATTACTGATTTAGTTGACTGGTGTCTTCTTAGTACATGTGTCTATTGATTGCCATTTCATTGAAATACTATGCTCCCAAGACTTCTCTAGGAGGTTTCGAACTTGCTTTTGGCGGTATTTCCATGATGTCTCAATTGAAGTTGTAATTGTGTTCAGCTATATATGTTGATATCAATGAGGATATATCATATTGTTCATCTTCAAGTTGATGCTCATAAATTCTCCCACTTATTCGATGACTGGGTTGGTCAACATAGCGATGTTGACAGTCAATGTAATTAGCTTCGTAAATTATATTCACCTAGTCTTCTTTGGGCAGTGAATCCTTTAGGTTGCACAATATTTTCTGCGGGGGGTTGGTTGATTTGTGTGTCACGTTGATAGCGAATGAGTGGGTTAGTCAGTAGACAATTTCTGAGACATTTCTCATGTATGATAAAGTGATTCGCACTACTTTGACTATAATTAAGGCTATATGGACTAAATATTTAATAGGAAAGAAAACTACTTTATGCTGATTACAATTGTAAACGCTGAAACAATGAACTTTTTAATTCCACTCTTGGTGGTCCCCCAGTACTTCGGGATTAGAAAAGGTGGTAAGACAAGATAAGGTGCATTGCAACATCGACTATGTCAAAAACATAACGGATATATATATATAGATGTGATTTGACAAACTTATCTTCACATAATGATATAAAGACTGAATAGAAGTTCAGTCTTACGCGTACAAGTAGAGTGGTGATTCGGATTTTGCAATGATTCAGGCTCTTTTTCCCACTCTAACCATTGGCATATGCACTTTAATGTGTCTCAGTTTATTTGGTATTGAAGGAGATAACATTTCAACGTCACATCAGTATGCAATTAATTAACCGCTGATTAACATTTATAATCGATAAAAAAACGAAATCAACGTAGAACCTTGCACACAGTTGCATCGGTTTAAGTTGCTACACTCCACAACAGCATGAAAAGAACGAGTGGATACAAAAGAACTGATATCAAAATAGAGAAAAGTGAATGGGAGAATTCAAGAAAAGTTTAGTCAAAACATTCAAGCTTTGGAAGAAACCAAAGAGTAAATGCACCTGCGCCATTGTGACCGATTTTCAGCCATTTCACCAACAGTCCCCAACCACTGATTCCTGTGGTCTTGAAACCTCAGATAGGCAAACTAAGCCTCCCTACACAGCTCAGATCAACAGTCACAGACTCCACGGACTGGCAACAGGTCTTAGACTGGCCATCCTGAACCCGCTTCCAGCTTAATGCAACTTACCCTAGCATGACATGTAAAGGTAGGCAGTAACTAGGCATGCTTAATACTCTTCGCGTGACCTCGACAGTGCCAACATGGTGATTCTATTATACGCGAGCACTGCTTCGAAGACACCTGTGGTCAAAACCTGCAACCACTTCATATCTTCTATTTTCATCGATAATGTTCCACTGAGGTATAAAAGGACACAATGGACTGCAGCATAATATACTCGTCCTTTAATAGATAGTTGGATACCGCGCCAGTTGGCGCCACAGATGATCCTAGTTGGCATATGCCAAACGGAACCTTTTTCTGTATACGAGCTGAGATTTCGTCCGCAACCAAGCTCACTCTGGATGATGTAACTCCCCATGTAGTTGAAGTGGCCGAAGCATTCCACCACTACATTAAACTCAGAGTAGTTGCACACCAACACTGTAGCATCATCTTACATTTGACAGATAGGTAGCAAAACGCATCCCAAACATACTCAAATTTCTATTCAAGGAGTTTAAAAGACAATGCGTGTTGTCAACGTCCTCTCCTAAAAAGATGTCGTCTGCATACTTCAAGTCAGCCAGATGATCTTCAGGGGGTAGTTCAATCTCTATTAAGTTCCAGGTACCTAAACTTATATCAATAAGTACGTTTATAACGAAGTAAAATAGGAGTGGTGGATAGAGGTATCCGCGCCGGACACCATTAATTGTCAATTTAAATAACAACTCACCATAAAGCCTTACATAGCTGCGTGAGTTTGAGTAAAGAGCTTTGATTAACATAACATACTACCTCAGTAATTCTTTCATAGTCAAATACTAATACAACACCTTAAAGTCGACAGAGTCGAATAACCCCCTTCAGATAGAGAAATATGATTGACTTATTTGTCATGTTTCAATGCCAGATCATAATTATATTATTTCGGTGACCACTTTCGATAAAATTCACTATTCTATTTCTTGGATTAACTAACCAGCATTTTAGTCCTTTTATGTTTATCCAGTCCACCTTTATTACAGTAATTACTGGATTACTGTAAGTTGAATTGATTATTTCATGTACTAAAGTAAAAGGTTCAGTCACCTAGCCTTGACACCAATATAGAATTTCCAATAAAAATACTTAGAAAATCCAAGTATTAAAGCAAAAAGGCAACAGCCAATTGAACGAGGTTCAACATTTTACAGGTTCATTTCGATTTTATCGAAATGAATCGACCAGCCACACATGTTGGTGCACTAGGCGATGACTTACACTTACTGGATGTTGGTTAATGATACCACCTGGCTGTCCATACCTCAGCAGGCGGAGTGGGCTTCGAATCGGTGACACACACTGGTTGAGTCTCCAGAACAATGAGCTACGATATCATCAGGTTCATTTACTTAATAATATATTACATGAATGTTATTCAATTTTATCGGTGAATAATTAATTTTGTTCTTCAGGCGGCTTTACTGCATAAATCAGAAATGTCTGAACTATGCGAGTTACTGATTAAGAAGAGATGATTATTTAATTTATGATGTTTTCACAAACTACTTACACATTGATTAGTATCGGAATTCTATAATCCTTCTTCATTAGAACTCATCAGCAAATAATACCCAATAACACTGAAGTTGATTGGTAAGGACACTCGACTTTCAGTTACACTTCCATCTTGGTAGTCAGATAGTAACATAAGCCGTCAATAAAAAAGTATGGCTAATTCTCTAGTGCATAAACTTGGACTGGCGTGTTGAGTTATATTTTTAAATTGCAGTTAGTTTTACGACAATGACTACAATCAATTTTTCCTTGATTAGTAAGTGATACTCAATACTTGATGAAGAAAATGATCTTTTTGATATGATTACGCATCATTATATGCCAGATTGATCCGTTTTACTTACAATAACATACACTGACTGGTCATTGTAGAGAAACCAATTTCACGTTGTTTAGTGGTGCATCCTGACTAAACTCTAACGATTGTGTTGCACTGAGACTACCAGGATAGGAGGCTCATCAATGCGGTAAACTTTGATGAATGTTGTCATTGTAATCCAGTTCTGAAGATAGTCACTCGTGGGATAAATAGCTTAGTGGTAACATTACTGACTGAAACACTCAGTGGTTCAGGTTCGATATCATTCCTCTCAAGGTTGCAGATACGTCTTGCTGACGAGTCCCGACAAATAGGAAACCTAGGTGAAGCGGGGCTTCCTACCGATTGACTCCATAACCAACTAACATTACTAACAATAAATCGTGGGTTACAAATATTTATTTTTGATACAAAAGTCTAAGATGAAACCGAAATTCTGCTTGAAGCACCACTGATGTCTTGAAATGTCTGACGGATAATGAATTCACACTGTTACTTATTATTTGAACCCAAACAAAGAATCAAGTGGTTTCCTTAGGCTCTGAAGAGAAATCATTGTCTGTATGATTAACTAAGTCACTCGTAAGGATTTATAACACCGGATAATAGTCATGCTATATTGTGAACGAATAGAAGCTGAAAAACGTGGATCACTGAATCTGATTCCAGTCGGATGAATGAAATGCACTCAGTAGACTTGTGGACATTCGTGCGGTAAACAATTAGCCACACATATTGTGTGAGGGCTAATGATACTAGATGGCTGCCCGAACCTCGGTCGCTGTGGTGGCGTTCGAACCCCTGGCCCACCGGTCGAAAGTCTACTCCCTAAACCAATGAACCACAGGATTTTATACCATGAAATCAAATCATGACACAAAGGCATGCTAAATATTTTTAGTGTATCAGGCTGGATGTTTAACGTGTTCGCAGCGAAACCTGGAGGTTTTGGGTTTAATTCCTGGTGAGGTCGTGGGTGCACACTGATGAGGAGTCCCATGCTGATCTTAGTTACTAAACGACGACCTACTAACTATGAGACTGAATGATTTCCGAAGGTTCTCTAGCTGATATTAATCAATGGATAGGTGACTCACCAATTTAAGTACTTGATTTCCAAGGAGTAAGTGATCTCCGGTTCGATACCTACTCCATCTACTTCCAAATGTGAGAATTGACCCTCAGAATATTTTGCTTATGGCCAAGTACACAAAATATGAGTTGTATACATCAATCAATGGTGAAAGTAACATTGAATTCATAGTTTAAACTTCATCCGTTTTAAAAGATTGAACTCTAATTGTTGGAATTAGGTTACTAGAATATAATATTAGGCAGACTTACATACCTATTACAAGATGATGGAAGCTATTATTCCTTGTCGCCCAAATATCATTAGATGAGGCAGATTTCCAACCTATGTTTCCAGGCTCACCTAGACAAATTATGAACAAAAAAAATCGTTGTCACCGATTTTGTTTGACCTGGAGATTTCAAAACACAATCTCATACAGCAAATTCCACTAGCCGAACGTATTAATAACTGAATGTACAGGAATGTTAAGCCATACAGAACAAGGTCACTTGGCATCGATCGGCTGTTAGTCCCAGTAGTCTCAGCTAGTGTCACGCATAGGACAGATGGGCATGAGTTTGTTGAGTACGATTGCGTATTCAGCACTATGTAGAACTTCAGCCTAGTAACTAGGAAAGTTAAGCTTCATTTACTAGATGAAGAGACTTTCGAAAACTCAAATACTTCCAATGAATCATGAGTGAAGAATGACTTTAGCGAACAGATTTGTTTTTGGTGATATCAACCCTAGCAGCTGTAAAAACGCATTTAACTGAAGTTAGTGTACACGCTTATTCATTGAGTTGTTGATACTTTTAAATTGATAATTGCTAAAGTTTGTGTTGGAAATGTTAGATGTCAAAAGCGAACGCTCTATGCCCTAAATTTACTTCATACAACTTTGATTTTTTTTCTTTTTTGTGACATTTTCCGTCTCAAGTATATTACTCCTTTTTACCGCTTTTAATCACGTTATTTTCCCATCGGTTGTTTTTCTACTTTTAATATGCTAATTTGTCTATTCGCCTCAAGGATATCCTTACTGCATATAAATGCATGATTTGCGCTTCTATATTCATATGCTTCCGTTTGAAGTAAACAATTTTCAGTCCAACGCTGTCTTCTTCCTTGTACTAACCGAGTGAACTGTTGAGTGTTATATTCGTTCACTAAGTATCTACAATTCTTAGTTAAAAGTATCCACCAAATCTCAATACTGAGGTCAGGAAAATATCAAAAGGAATGTAAGTTACGTAAGAAATATGAATAAATACGTGTAAGTTGAAATGAAGAACCAAAGATTGCGAAACAAAGTAAATAGACAGTTGTCAGTGTGCAAGGGAATGAAAAATTAGTAACTGAGCTAAATATGGAAGCTAAAAAAGGTTACCTCGGCTTAGGAATTGGAAAGTTTTACAAAGTTAAAGGAAATAAGGAGAATATCGAAAGGCAAAGTTGTTTTTCAGTGCACAATTCCGATTTCAATTTCAGCATTTTCAGAGTTTCAGCAGTGCAACATAAACTTTTCTTTAAACCCCTTGGGGAATTACTTTGTATTTTGTAGACTACTGCAAACGAATTCTCTCCAGTTGTGTCCAGTATCCACTAAACGTTGTAAAAGGAAGCTACTGATCGACCTGAGTTGTCTTTACTGAACCATACTGGAAGGTGTTGACGTCGATGTTGGACAATATGTCTCACAGTACAACTTATGTGCCTAGCCCGATAGGAGCAGGTGAATTGAGAAGCGGAAAATGTGAAACTCAGATAAGTATTATCAATCGTATTTATTTTTAAAGATATTTTACTCATGACTTATTCGGTAGCATCAGCGTGTAGCTCAGTTAAAGAGTTTCTGATTGACTCTTCATACATATCTGGATGATTTATGATTCGGAAATAATTGCCTCTTGAGTGAAATCAAACAATTGTTGTACGCTATATCATTTTCTGTGCATAAAATCGGTCGCTTCATTTATATGAATTATGTGGCCATGTTAGTCGCAAATTTACCTATGATTCAGATCGCTTAAAACACGGAAAATAAGTACCAAACTTGGTGTTCTGTTTTCCTGTGAAGGGTTGGGAGGCTTGAACTGGGTGGATTAAGCATACGACACCAATCAAGTACAAGACCAGCGTTAGGACTGAATCGGTAGGATTATATGCCAAAGAGAATTACAACCAGGCAAGGTTATGAGTAATTGATGAAGTGTTTAACTCAGTAACATAACAAGTGGAATATAAATATGGGGAATAAATTGTGTCCGAAAGGTAATCAAGTAAACAATATTGTGTCATTGTGTGATGCATCTAATAAATCAAATAGAATCGAAGGTAAGGTTTTACTCTTATATTAAGGTGGGGTTAGGGGGAACTCCGGATATATATATGGACTGAGAGCCAACATCGACAGGTCAATACACGCACCTTTTTCGTGCCGTACCCGTCGAATACAAGAGGGACCTGGTGAAATCTCTAGCATATCGTGCAACAGCTATCTGCTCCGATGATGCTATAGAGGAAGAGTTCGCTCCCATCCACGACTTGCCTAATAGGAGTGGCTATCCAAAAACGTTCATGACTAAGCACATGAACGTTATGGAGATTAAGACAAGAATGCAGACAGTTCCTAAGAAGCAAATTTTCTTGAAGCAAGGATTCGAGAGTGATACTATTAGTGAGATCATCACATGACGCATAAAAAGAGTCCTTGGAAGACGATTTCTAAGCCACAATATTATGTCCCATCTACAACCGCAAGATCCCAGGTACACTAAGTAAAGACAGAATGTATGATTTTGCCACTTTCATGTGTATTTATCCTTTCAACTGCTCCTGTGCAGCTAGTTACATTGGGCGTACAATTAGGCACGTCCATAATCGAATCTTTGAGCAGCACCCATCATGATTGAATAAACGACAGATTAAAAAAAATAAAGAGCTCCATACTTGCACACTTAGTTGATACTGGACATCAAGTGGATACTAGAAAAGCACTTAACATTATTCAACCAGCACATTTGTCACATAGATTACGGACTCGCTAACTCTACACAGCACAGGCGATTGCGATCCACCTTTACAAGCCTAACCTTTGTATTCAAAAGAAGTTTGTTCAACTGCTTTCATTACTGTCGCCATCAACATGATGTAACCTTTCGTGTTGATTTGCACATCCCTTCCTCTCTCGTCGTACCAATATTCATTTGCTTTCTTACTCTTACATAAATGTTTACTGAAAACAAGTAATAAACGTAATTAAGGCAGGATTTATTGAATTCATAAGTTTCAGTAGGACTTGTCAGCTTTTTACTCTGCATACATGACTTTATATACTGTTGTGCAATAAAGGGATGCATACACACATACAGACTAAGACAGTGACTGAGGCATGGCAACACGGAGAGGATCATTTAACACTGTCAAACAGAGCTAAGATTATAAGCTGGTTGGAGGCAATCGGCAGGAAGCACTGAACCTACGTTTCATCATCAGTTCCATCGAGGTTGCAGACAAGCCTTGCTAATAAGTGCCAACAAGCACGAAACCTTGGTCCGGGGCATCCTAACGACTGTCTCAAACCAACATCACTTCTCTACTATATATCATCGGTTAGCCGACTTGAGAATCTTCTTACGTCATCTTATATCACTACTCATATTATTTCCATGACCTTTCTGTTGAAACACATACTGAAACTTCACACCACGTTGTGTTAGCTTTATCTGTATGTTTGCATTCTTTGCTAAACCATGTTGTTTCCTGTTAAGTAACCTCAAGTAATTGGAAAGACTTATGTTCTAATTCCTTTGTAATATAATATTTAAGTGCTTTTAGGATGTAAGCAGCTGATGAGAAACTGGCGAAACAAAGTGGTACCATGTTATTCCAATTGTTATTTTTTCTCTACTCGGGTTCATGCAAAGAAATATGTCGCTGGTTCGAATCCGGCCGCGGTCCGGATTTTCACCTCACCTTCAATCATTGCCCAGTACAAATACAAGCCTGCCAAACTACGGCTATCTTAGGTGGTCAAATCATAATCAATATGATGCTCCACCTCTCTGATTCAGTTAGATTTGGATTGGGATGAGAAGTCTAGACAAGACACCTAGTGTGAATACGATCAAGCGGTAGTACCGCGTCACAAATTCACATGGCAGTCGGGCAAAACCCTTGGTGACTGAAGTGAAATAAAATTCTGGCCAGCAGTCGGACCTCGTAGCTCAGTTGGTAGAGCACCCGACGGTCGCTGGTTCGGATCCGGCAGCGGTTCAGATTTTCATTTTATCTTCAATCATCACCCAGTACAAAGAATTACTGAACTATTGGCAAAACGATGTAATAATAAAAATTCCACTGTCGCTATAAACAAATAAGTAGCAATGAAGCAAAACTTCTCGCAACTATCAAGAAATGCATCCTTAAAGTTAAGATGTCTAAATAAATAGAACTGTATAGTTTAAACAACATTCAATTGCGTAAAATAATGAATAATATTTGTCTGGTTTTTTATACAGGTATGTGATTATGTGTGATTGTCGTGGTTTGATAAACTCGTATTATTGATACTGGATAGTGATATAAAGTGAAATGAAAACCTGGATCACGACAAGATCCAAGCCAGTAGCGCCTGGGGGTTACCACCCAAGTGATTTTGAAATTCGAATCAAGCAACTTTGAGCACATTCATGCAGTGCTAGGCAATGACCAACACCTATTGTATGAGAGCTAATGATACTACCTGACTGCTCAAACTTCAGTAGGTGAGGCAGGACTCGAACCCGCGACCCAATGGTTAAAAGTCACCTACTCAAACCGATGAGCCACAGCTCCACGCCAAGTGCTCTACCAATAGTTGGGTTTTGTATTTCAGTTGTGTGTTATGGTTATTGTTATGTTTTTCTTTACATCAATACATAGAAAAATGAGTTTTTAAGAGTTTAAAACTAACCTTAAATTACACGCATCAACAACAGCAGCTTCTAAAAGTTTACTTTGTTCTCGTAAACTGATTTGATAAAGATATCGTGTATAGAGATTTTTTTCTGGTTTCTTTAAAGAACGCGAAAACTGATACGCAAAATGTTGACGTAATCTACTGGCCTAAGATATTTAATGAAGAGGATAAAATAAAACAATGATTTGATCAATGGTTATCCAAGTCAACAATAAAAACAACTACTATTAAACACTTAATAAATGTCACTTTCATCGGTGAAATTGCATTTATGCGTTACACTAGTACAGATGGATTCGATTCGCTTAACCCTTCAAAAGTCTGAAATTTTTAATTATGGTCATACATATTTATAATCAGTCTACCTATATACGTTTTGTTCACCTTTTACTCTTTTAGTGTTGAGTAGTGCATTAACTAAGACGTATATCCTACTATGCAAAGTTATATGTTTAATTGTATGATACAAGTTGCAATCACATAACCATCAATTTTACATCATCAATAAGGATTTTCGACTGAACGAAATATGCAGTTGGACAACTTTTAGACAAATCTATAACGATCGCCTTAATGTCTCAGAGTCAAAGAGCCTACACGAAAAGTGGGCTGTTTAAATCGCTATCCACTCAAGTATTGACTTCAAAGGTCACTCTAGCAATCGCTGAAACAGCCAATCAGGCTTCAGTTGGAAAGTTTTTCATAAAATAAGGAACCGTAATTGGTTTACTCAGCAGCCGTTAAAGTGGTATTTTAATTCAGTTCAAGTATTGTGAAATGTACTCAAATGAATATTCAGTGGATAATGAAACCATACAAGACTGGACTAGAACAACAAGGGTTCCATTCTAATATATAACCATACTAATACAATATTTTATTATATCGTCTGTTCTTTTGGATCGAATGAAAATCAATGTTTTGTTTTCACACTTTACGTCTAGTGTGTTAGTGTAGTAGTTAATTTGCACTACATGTGAATAAAAAACGCCTTAAGATTCGAGTATTTGTTGAATTTGTTGTTACTACACAAAAAAACCACCACCTTTGCCATTCGTTCCCAAAGATGTTTTCAAATCATGAACGAACGAAAGAAAGTACACTCAGTAACCCTGTGCACATGCGTGCAACAGCCAATGAAACACACCTATTGTGTGAGGGCTAATGACACCACCTCGCTGCTCAAACCTTGGTAGGTGGGGCAGGGCTCGAACCCGGAACTCAGTAGTTGGAAGTCTTCTCCTTAAACCAATGAGCTGCAGCTCCAAATCAAAAAGAAAAGGTTCCCAAACAATGTCGAGGTAATCTTAAATTATACAATCCTCGTAAACACTGCTTTCTCAGCTTATTGTTATTTTTATTAGCCTATTGTGGTGTCTACAAAGTTCCCATAAACATCAGCTGATGGATAATGCTTAGTATGAAATACTCAACCCTATGAAGTGACCATCGACGAACATGTCATTGGCGACTGAAGTGATGGCTCGACGATATACTATTTCCAACTGAGAAGTATAAATATAGTTTCACTATTCATGTTGTCCAATAATATTCGCCATATGTTTGCTTCAAGACTATTGTGTAACCGGTAGCGATGATTGAGAGTGAAATGAAAATCTAGAACACAAAAGGACTCGAACGAGTAGCCTTTAGGACTGACAACCCAGTGTAAGCAAGATCCTTTACCACCAGTTGGCATAGTAGTGATTTTTAACGGATATCCTCCTGATGATACAATGATCGGTGTCAAAATCAGTCACATATGAGAAACAAGACACCAAAATGCATTATGCAGTTAGTGAATGGATTCTAAATCAATCCATTTATATGACAGCATCACACCTATAAATCAAAAACAATAGACTACAGTGGATGAGGCAAATACTGCTCTAGTAATATCAGATGAAAACACAATAATTTCAACTGCACATTTCAAAAGTCAATGAGTAACGTGCTGGTGAGCCAAAGTTCTCTTATGCGGACCGTACTAGTGTCAAGGTTTTGATTTCCCCTTCAATCAATAAAAACCGTCTACAAAACATACATTACCACAAATGACTTATTACATGCAAAATTCGACCGACCTATGGTGGTTTAACGTGGATTCGAATGTATAATAAACATGGTTGTGATCCCCAATAATCTAGAAATCAATTATCTGAGATGTTTGTTGGAAGTCTAGAGCAACAGAAGATGCATTCACTTTCGATTTCCTTCTAAATTTATTGCACTTTACCAAATGTTTCCCTTTACTTATATCTTTCGTACTGCCGCTTTAACCCATTGCAGTACGTATTTAACACTCAACCAATGGGTCACGGGTTTGAGCCCAGCCCCACCTACTGAGGTCTAGTCAGCCCTCACATAAGAGGTGCGGCTCACTGCCTACTGCAAAAACGTGCACGACGCTGTTCAGTGCGTTTCATCCTTTCTTATTGGTTATACTATAATAGCTCTCCATTTTTGCTGAAACTCTTCGCAATGTTGAGAAGTATTGCAGTGTAAAATGACACACTTTTACGTAAAGTTCTACGCTGTTGATCATCTGTAAATTAGGAACAAAGTATCCCAATTGGTCGAGTCAAATGTAACATCTACATCAAGAAATACTCCTACTATCAGATGCTAGTACCATATGTCCCAGAATAATACATCAGGAAAATATTTGGATACACCGAAGAACACAGGTGAGAATTGTTCGACACCATCCCATCAAGTGATTAATACTATCAGTTTGATGATGAAAGTAAGAATCCTTATCTTTGTCTGACTTAGTCTTCTCATATATGTGTGTTGAAATTCCATAGAAAGATGGTAATATCTGCATATTGGGCTTTCTGTAAGGTGAATATACTTCGGAAAAATTTATGTTTCACTTCATCTGAGATGTTGTTAGTGGATAATACGCGGAGAATATGAAAAGCAAGGCACCAGAACCTTTTAAGTTTGCACTACCCATTTCAATTATACAAATTACAAGTAACTTTCGATGCGGATACAGTTAAAAGCAACTTTTATCTTAGAACCCAAAACCATGTCTTAGACTATAACGACGCGATATATGTTCAAATGGGTAGCCAAAAATGAGTCTGGAATTCCAGCTTCTGTTAGTGGACGAAGTGCAGATATGATGAAAGACAAAATACGCTGTTCAGAGCACTGTTTCACCTTATAGAAAAGGGTGCGATTCCATCTACTCGAAATCTCAGTAGCAGAAGATTAAAAGACGTGGCTAGCTGAGAACTATGTAGTCTTAGCAATAAGAACAAGTTAGGAATATTCAACGTACGATGGAGAAAAGGACTGATAGAAACTAAGAAGAGATTTCTGATCCTTCTCGGATGCTCATATCGAATAAACTTATTTCCTGAGCCGGTTGACGTGGGTGAATTAAGATTCCTACTAGGACATGAAAGAAGAAAAAATATTTCAGAGATTCGGGACCTACAGCCTTCCGACGTCGGCGGTATGAGTTCTCTTCTTACGGAGATCAAACAACTAAACCTCAAAAAAAAACCACAAAAGGCTGTGCACAATGCCTCAACCAGATGCTTTAAGAGCTTCGCGGTCACACAAAATGTTTCCTATCTCAGGTACCTTAAGAATAACTAGCCACCTACGGTGTGTGCATCCGGGAAGTCACCCGACCCCCACACTTCCAGTAGTAAACAAGACCCAGTCAAACACAAACTATCCTCATCAACTTTGTCTCCTGCTTTGCCTTCACCTCCTCATACTAATATTAAGCCTCTTACGCCTTCCTCAACCTCCCAACCTGCGACCAATCTCAGCAATCCGAGCTGTCGAAACCTAATTCTAGTCTCCTAAGACCCCAACATCGATGTTATGTAGGAGCTTTCAACATCCGAACTCTGTGCAAAGTCAGACAGCAAGCATCGCTCCCAAAACTCTGGAGTCTGTAGCCATGGATGAATGCTGTATTCCTGAGACACATGTACAGAACCCGAGTGTGGTTAGTAAATTAACCTCACCTGACCAAAGTAGTGGATCTTCAAAATCCACTTCAAAAGTATCCGGAGGCCCAATGGCTAGCCCTCGTGCACTCGCAGACGTACGCATTGCATGAAGTTATAAAGCAGAAAATGGGCTTCTCGAATGGATACTAGTCAACAGCCATTTATGTGTTGTTCGACTGAACGGACCTATAAGCACAAAGAAGAATCATGAGATCAGGGTGATGTCTATTCGCCGCCCATGCACCCACCAAATGTAGTTCAGATGATGCAAAGAATGGATTTCATGAGAAGTTATCAGCTTTGCTACAGAAACCAAAACGTTCAGATGAAGAGAGTATGGAAGATGACCTTAATGCTGAGCCAGTTGGAAAGGCATCTTAGAGGTATTTACGGAATCTCATGTCAACGAACAGACAACGGTTATCGTCTGTTGCAATTTTGCGCTGACAACCACCTGCTGCTCGTCAGCAGTAGCTTTCGGCATAAAGAGGAACTGTCTCACATGGGGTTAGCCAAATTCAAACTAACCATGGACACCGGTAGATCATATTGCTATAAGCCATCGTTTGAGGATTGGCGCTCTTTCTGGAGTACCAGTTAAAACTCCGATCACGCGCTTGTGCGGGTTCGTTTATATCTGCAGCTTACTGGTTACAGGAAACAACCGATAGTATAGCTTGTCTATAGTCTTTTGGGAGATGAGAACGTCAAGTCTGAATTTGTGGGAGATAGCTAAGCGTTTATCTGAACATGGCAGCAATACTCATCCTCAGGAAACTTGCCGTGATATTGCCTACTGTAGAAACAACAGTAAAGACAACTGGTAACCTACACATTGAGGTTAGCAAACGGCAGTGAATTTCTGCGACGTTATCCGAACTGACTGATGCAAAAAAGACTGATTCCAGCTGGTTCTGACCACGTTGAGGAGCAAAAGCTACTAAAACGGAAGTTGACGAAGAGTCTTTGCATCGATCACGGGCAGTGGTGGACGGCAGAAGCAAGAGAGATGGAGAAGGCAACAGCGATGCCTAACAATCAACTATTCAGTTATTAGGAATATAGCAAAGAAGACGACAGTGAGTGAAACCATCGTCTAAACGATGGGAGACCGATAACCTGTGAAGTACAGCAGCTAGAAAGTGGGCAGAACACTTTGAAGCACAATTCAACTGGCCCTCACCGACGCTTCAGTTGCCAAACATCCAGCCTGAACCTGAATGGGACGAGATGTCGGTCCTCTAACTCTCCTTGAAGTTGAGAAAACTGCATCGAACCTGAAACAATGGAAAGGAGCAGGACATTTGCCATATTTTTTTATGTGGAGGTGGCACCTGATTCTGTCGACAGTTAGGTGTTGTGACAGTGTCTGACAGTAATATAATAAACGAACAATATGCATGACAGTATGGAATTCGCAGCATGTAATTTTTCAATAAATTCATTCCCAGAACAATACTTTAAGACGAAACGGTTATTGCATTCGCATGATGTTAATAATAACAGTATTCAAGACAATAATATGAAACAGTCAGCTGGTTCTGGATAGGTATCTGGTCCATAAAGGAGAATCAAAAGAACTACAGGCGTAATTTTAGTGGTGGCGGTTCATTCAGACGGTACAGAAATCTGCAACTCGAGCTAAGCATCTGATGGATAGAAATGTGATGTACTTTTTTGCGCCGAAAAGTCCATTTTTATATAACGTAACATTTTTTCTCTTTGATATCGACTCCAGAAATGGAGAGTTGGAAAACGTTTAAAAATATGCAATAGTACATGATACGTTTAAAGGATATATTTAAGTGATTAAAACAAATTAAAAAGAAAGAACTTGATGAAAAATGTTCGATGGATAAATTTGGTAGCCTAAAGTTTAAGCAGGCCACCATCAACATAGAAAGTATGAGTCGCATATCTCTACTGGGACTTGCGCCCGTGTCAGGGCTCATGGAAATGACGACAACTAGTGGAGTCCGTTAGAGTTGTCTACTGTAACTGCTCTTATTTAATTTCGTCATACACGTAGGTCTACGGAAATAATGTTATATGCGTCTGACTTCACAGAAATTGATCTGTTCCCTAGAGTGCATCTGGGTGACTTGGAATATGAAGACGATATTGTCCTGCTAGGTGAAAATGCAGACACAATGCAGGGCTTTCTAAACGCGTTGAGCAGAAATTTGAATCTGTTTGGCATATGTTTCGCTGGCACCTGTCAAATGTAAGATGATGCTCCAGAACTGGTCTGCTACAAGTGCTCGCAGTTGAGTGATAAGAAGTGAAGTGATGAATATGTCGACCACTTTACTTACTTGGCAAGTTGCATCAGCTCGCATGGGCTGGTTGCTGACGAAATCTCAGCTGAGATAGAGAAGGCCTGTTTGGTATTTGTCAACTTGCGTCCCACGTGTGGTGCCGGTGAGGTATCCGACCTTATCAAAGAATGAGCGGTAGATCGTTCTCTCCTGTTATACGACTATGAGACACCGCTGTTAAAAGTAAAAGGTATGAAGCAGTTGTAGGTTCTCGACCACAGATGTCTTCGAAACATTGCTTGGGTGTAGTGAAATCACCGTGCGAGCAACGTTGAGGTCAGGCGAATAGTACAGCGAAGACAGGCAAGTCGATTGATGAGGTTGTGAACCTTCATCGACTGAGCTGGTTTGGACATGTGCTGCACATGTTTACAAGCTATAGCATCAAAATAACTCCATGTTAGTTTGAACCCAAGTTTCCTGACAGCCACCTATGATTACCAACTCGTAAGACCAATATCGAGACAAAACGGTTAGAATTAACAACAAACAAACAACATTACCAGGTACCATAATATGCGTGCAAATATCAATGAGCACAAAAAAGAACGAGCTTTTAAACAAACGATTCATTTATAAGGACACGGTTTGCTACAGGTGGAAACAGAACAGAGTGTAAAAGCTGTCTTTAACCAAATAAAGAATTTTTTCATATTTTTGAATAGAAAAATGTTAATTTGTTCTACTGTATTTGAATCATTTATTCCTCTCACAAAGTATGGTGCTTTCATCATTCAAAAAAGTATGCTGGAATATAGCGTTGGTAAGACTATCAGGCGAGTTCAACACATGGTGTTAAGGAATATTCCGGTTTTACCTGAAGAAAAAAACAGCACCTGGTTTAATTTAGATGTTAACTGGAAATATGGGATGAATCGCAGTACAAAACTAAAAAGCAAATTCTCCGAAATCAAAACTCAGTATCTGCATTAGACCTACGGTTTACCAGGATTCTCATCTGAATATCCCAATCGATTGTAATAAGTTCGACTGAGCTGTACATCCCCGGTTGTGATCACGTGTTTGACTGAAGCACCTGGTGATGTGCGCAAATTAATAAGGGAGGGTCACTATTCCTTAGGTTAACCACACACCTTCCGTATGAAAGGTGACAAGTAAGAAACCTAGAGTGTGTAACATGGTTTAGAAATCCTTGAAATATTTGAAAGATACCTACGTTAGCCGAGAACACAACTAAACATGTTGCACAAAGTTGATGTTATATAACACTAGAAGCATCGATGAAGAACTGCAAGTAATCGAGATCATGCTTTATAAGTCTTTAATAGTCTCAAGTAAAAGATGTTAAATCTAGTAGTGTATAAAGGAGAATAAGTTACACACCAAATTTTAATCGATGATTCGATAAGCTATTATCTCCGAAAAATTTATTGCGAAGAGGATTTCCAAAGTCAACGGAAACTATGAACTCCCTACTAGAAATGAACTCTTATTAAGTAGGTGCACAATCCTGGGGAAAGTTAACACTGGATTGACAACACTTATTTTATGCTTTTGAAGAATAGCAAAAGCGATGGCTAAGCATTAGTCTAGTATTCGTCAGGACCTTCTTATCTTATCACATAAAAAAAGACAACGTCCAGTCTTATTCACAAAGTTCATCTACCAAAGACATTAGCTCTATGATGGTGAAATAAGATATATGAAGAATATTATCAACATTCATTGGTTGTTCCCTTTGTTGCATTATTCACCACAAGTGTCAAAAATAGAAATTTCGCCTACAAACAGAAAGATAGTATTGGCTCTCACTCAGAGATCACACTTTACTGGATGACGTTCCGAATAATCTACTACGCATAATCACATCAAGGTCATCACATACATTTAAGGCTTAACCATGAAGTTCTATACACTCTCATTATTTGGTTTCATTGATTACAGAATTGTCTACACAATCACGAGTAGTGTTGAATCCCTCCCATTGCATGTGTTAGGTATGCGCGCAAAACGTTATCCGGTACATAATACTTTCTTATCATGACATATTATCAAAGAACTAAAGTGGAATCATATTCTACTACAAAACTCAAATTCTACTCTTGCATTCCTATCTACCCACCTCTGATTTAACAAGGCAGTTATGGAACAGTAGAAACATTGTCAGTGATATTTCACATTCGGGTTTCTGTTTGTCGTAAAGGTAGTTTGGACTCCATTTCACAATAAAGATCAATGAGACAGCTTGGATATTTCTCCTTACTTTACTGAATAATAAAGCTAACACAGAAGTACGAAACGTAATCCAGTGTGATTATTAAGACGATAGTTCTAAATTATTTCATTGACTATTTAGTAGAATCTACTACCCGAATGAAGTATCATAGCTTTAAAATTAGATCAAGCTTAGATTAAAGAGGGGGAAGGAAACCTCGGTTGACGGCTTTATATCAGCTCTCATGATCACAAAATATATAACCTGATTTTGTAGCACTCATACTACGTTCCACTTACCTTGAAAGGAGGACCGTATGCAGGAACTATCCAGTCAGCTCGCTCTAAAATAAGCCCACGACTTCGACGCCAACTATTGATCAAATTTTCCTTGTCACAATTACTGTCTCCATGATTTCCATCCCATGTATCGAGAAAGCTTACACGACTAGCATCTTGGACATCCATAAACAAGTTCCCGGTAACAGCAATGGTACAGGACTCACGACACTCACTGTTCTTTGGATCTACAAGACGGCCATTGACTATTAAGCTGACCTGTGGGCCACGTTGACCAGGAGTCCCAACAACATAAAACTGGAAAATGACAAAAAGAAGCGAGATTACATGCAGACTAGAACATAAAGAGTTGCCTGATTTACATTGTTACATAGCCCTCAAAAAGGACGCTTAACTTACTTGACCTAATTAGACACAGTCATGTTAAGTTTCAGCATGAAACTGCCTTAGATGTAAACAAAAAGTTAGCAGTTATAGTACAAAAAGAATAACTTGTCTCCAATCAGATATGGTGCATTTCCTCTAATCCTGTGCCATGATGCAAAGTGAATAGGTTCTTAATCAGCTTCAAGAAATTATTAAAGCCAGAAAAGTGGTAGAATACAAAAGACAACCAAAAAGTCATGGTTAACCACAGGGTCATTCAGCTGATAGCTATTTACTAAGTATCCCAGAGAAGTTGAGTCAATAACATCATTAAAAAGAAGAATGAATAAAAATAGTTCCTTCGCAGCATACTTTGGGGATGATTGTTTCTTTGAAGATGGACTATAGGCTTCAACGACTGCATCAGTGAATGTAATATGTAGTGTTGCTTAAATACCTAGAAAAGAAAAGAGTAGTACAGTAGGAAGAAGCTAGTGACGTTATTCTGGTTACTGATAGAAATATGCATCATGTGCTATCAAAATCTGTAAGCCCCAATCGCTCCGAGAATAGAAATATGCTACTGCAAAAAGCATCACTCTTGGGTAACCATGAATTTCAGTAGCATCAAGTATGTCTTTATTTTCACAATAAATTAGAAATATGAATTAGATTTAATGAGTTCGACACTGTAAAGTGCCGTCTTCCAAATGTACGATAAATGGGTTAGAAAATGTCAGTTATTGAAAAACAGCACGCTCCATTGAATTCCGACAACAGCAATAAGTTTTTCAAAGTACAAGTTTAGCCCAACAGAATGAAATCACAAACGTATATATAACCAATTGTGGTTAGAGCTACATTATTTGTCAGACTCCCAAACATGAAGCTGTTAACATGCCAGTTTTCTTAAACTGAAGGTAAGACATCTGATTTAATTGATGGACCCTTAGAAGGTGACATCAACTAAGTACATTATGGTTCTTTGTTCAGGCTGATGCACTTGTGTAAGAATTACCACCTGAGTTGATAGTAGGAGAGATGCTTACAATTACCATTCTAGTTTATCATCGTTATAAACGTGATGACGCAAGTGACTGATTATGTGCACATTTTCAGAAACTAATCCCTTGTTCGAAAATTGTTAGACCCAGAGTAATCAGACGATATTTCTGTTAGGCGAAGATGCTGACAAGTTAAGGGGCTATCGGAAACCCTCAGGGGAAATCAAGGGATAATTAATACATGCTTCAAATCAGACACGGTGATTCTTCAGTACCGTTTTGAGCCATCTAGTTATCACCCTACATCTCCATTGAGTGATATAAAGTGAAAGCCAAGTTCATTACATTAATTCCATGTATTTCTCAAGGTTCTCTCCAGTCAGTACACAGATAAAGGTTTCACCGATAATATTGTACGCACCATGAGCAGCAGTCGGGATCTTCATCATGTAAAAAAGAAAATGAAATGTAACTCAGTAACCACGAGCAGGCTCGTACAATAAGCAGAGTTACACTCATAGAGCAAGAAGTCACGAAGCCTCGGTAAATGAAGGATGGTTAGAAAGTTGGACGACTCATTGTTTGAAAACTAACTGTTTATGGCCGATAAACCAGTTTCATAGTTTTCAAATGTTTTTCACATCTACAAAATGAGAAATGTTCTCTCACAACTAATTTGTGTGGACGTCTCATCCTAATATACACATCCAAGTGAATGGGTTCGTTCAATACTCCATTCATCTTACGAATGGGATCAAACAGTTAACGTCTATACAGTTTTGGAACATGCACGACGCCTAGCAATATTACCTTCTATCAAGTTACATATTCTGTTTTCTACTTGCTCCACTATTGATGATAAAAATATTTCCATCTGGCCTTTCCCGTTACTAATTTTCAATCGCTGTACCAATATGAAGCATGAAGACGTAAATTGACAAGCAGTTATGATAGGTTTCAAGTTGTTTATATCCATCTGTCCCGTTTTCCAGACTGCCTTCGATAAAAAATAAAATTTTCTTCTAAGATAAACCCATTTCCTTTTAGTTGTCACGTAAATGATAAAAGTGGAAGAAATAACAAAAACACTGCACCTAGGAAGTCAGTGTAGGCCTGAACAATTCAGATTTTGCGGTCAAGGAAATGGAGACATAGCCTACTGGACACAAGATCAAGAAGGGGAGCAGATGTAGGTTCACACCATTCAATATCTAGTGCAAGAAACCTTCAAAATCAAGTTGAAAGTTGAAAAATGGGAGACATTAAGTAACATCCTTGAAGAAACGTGTATGGAAGAACACTGGAACTCTTTGAAAGAGGTGTGGAAGAGAACCTGAATAACCGTATTAGAAAGGAAGAAGAAACAAGACAAGGAATGGATCTCCACGGATACATCGAAGCTGACAGAGAAGGGAGAGGAACATGGTGAAGCAAAAGATGAACCAGTACAGTGCAGGGGTGAACAACGACAAAGGGAACTGAGTACAACGTGTAAAACACTACACTGGACAAGGAAGTGAACAGGAGTGCGCGGAAAGACAACATCTTCGAGTGAAGCAGAACAAGCTTCTGGTAGGAGAGACCTGACAACATTATATCAAATAACCACGTTACTATCCGGGAGTGGAGAGATCAACGCAGACGAAACCAACGTGACATAGTGAAGGAAAATTAGTTACCAAAGAGGAGAAACAAAGAAAACAATGGGCTGACCACTTCAAAAAACTCTTGAATCGGCCAACACTACCACCTGCAACTCGTCCAGAAATATCACCAGAAGCCCACACACAGAACTACCAGTGAACACATTCCCTCTGACAAAAGCAGAAGTCCTGAATGCCATAAAGTTACTGAAAGCCAGAAAAGCAGCAGGACCAGATGGAATTCCGCCAGAAGCAGTGAAAACAGACGCAGAGCCAACAGCGCATATGCTCACACCACTAATGCAGAAGGTTTGGAAGGAAAGGTACCTGCCTACTGACTGGAAGAAGGGCTACCTTGTCAAACTCCCAAACAAGGGAGACCTAAGTCTTTGCAAGAACTGGCGAGGAATCATGCTACACCCCTGTCCACCTCGAGCAAAATATTAAGCCGTATCATCCTGGAGAGACTAAAATTACAACCGAAACAGGCTGGCTGGGTGGCTGGCTTCAGAAGGAACAAATCATGTGGGCATCAAATTGCAACTATACGCTACGCATCAACATCAATGAACACAGCATAGAATGGCAGTCAACTGGATCTTTACCTCAACTTTATCGACTTTGAAAAGGCACTCAACAGTATCGACCGAGAAGTAATTTCACAGTTGCTTCAACACTACGAAGTGCCACAGATCCTTGTCAACCTCATTCAACAGCTATATGAAGGCAACACATACCAAGTGATCCACAATGGAAAGCCCAGCGACGCCTTTGAAGTAAAGACAGGAGTAAGACAAGGCTGCCTACTATCACCCATGATCTTCCCGATTGTGGTCGACTGCACTGGACTGAATCATACAAGAAACAACTGTCAGAAGTGAGAAGATGGGCATACGCCGTTTGACCGATGAAAAGATCCTAGAAGATTTGGATTTCACCGATGGTGGCTTATGTCTAATGTCACACAAGCCCGAAGACCTACAGGTTGCCGCCTACACTCGCTCGATACTGAAGATCAGCTCAGATGGCCAGGAAGAATAAGCAACAAGGAACTTACTCTGGCTATCAACGAACCAACCAAGAACCCATCGCCCAACAAATATGCAGAAGAAAGTGGAGATGAGCTGGATTGGACATACACTGAAAAGACCGTTTGAGGACATCACACATCAGGCCAGGCCCTCGAGTGGAACCCAAAGGGGAAACGACGAGTTGGGTGTTCTAGGGTGACATGGAGGAGATGGTATGAGGAAGAAATGAAACGATGTGGGCAGTCGTGGCGCCAGGTTCAAAAGATTGCAAAGAACAGAGTGCGATGGAGGCGTGCTACTCAAACCCTATGTTCCACCAGAAACCCAAGGGAAAAATAATAATAATAATAATTCGCCTCAGTGCAGCAAGGGCAACGTAACAAGAGAGAAACTATGAAATGAAAATGTTATTGACGCATTCTGAATGTAAGCTGTTCTTTGAGAGAATATTCCTCTGTGGCGTTTGTTTAACTATAAAGCGAGCTGTAAGCCAAAGCCATGATAGTCATACAAATTCACTTCGCCAAGCTATCTGCTTCATTTATACGCCAACCAACCAACCTCTACGTTGCCTATTCAACTGCTTAATAGCTCACAATGTACCCTGTTCAGCTGTAGGTAAGTATTAGATGATATGTAACAGTATAATTCCAACTGGAATTGTAGCATAATAGTTTTAAGACAAAAACTTCAGCTCAATACATTAGTATCTGGTAAACCTAGTTGGTTTCTGGCTTTTGAGTCTTGCTTAACTGTATCGATTGTTGAGCCCAAAGCAACGACTGTGAAAGTGAGGCGATTCCAGTTAATCTCTGCTGTGTAAAACAGTTCAAATATCTTCTTCAAGTCTTCTATTAACATTCGTCCAACTGCTATCCACACATGAAAGTGGCCTCAAATAACCTTTTTACTGTAAAATCATAGCAAACTAGGGTTTACAAGAGCAGTGGGGTTGAACTTGTAACCACTGAAGCGCTTGAGACGTGTTATACAAACAGCTACTACCCACCCCAAAGCGCGACGTGGAGTATATTAGGTCAGAAAGTAGCTAAGAATGAACAAATTAGTCCATGAATTCATTGACTGTGGGTCAATCGAACACGCTTCCCAAATGGAGTCATCATAACCTTAAGAACGATTAGTTCTCAAAGCTGTAATCTTTTGTTCACAAAATGATATTCGACACGTGCTGATTGAAATTTAACAATAGAAAGACCATTGCAATCAAAAAACCCAGTGCGGAAAGTAGAAAAACTCCTAACTACAACTCAAATAAGCCACCAAATCGTCATTTCTTCGGCTCAAGATCCATGACATCCTGATAAAAACGGGTGACAACTTACGTTTTCATCAAATTCATAAGGTGCGATGCCATCGCAAAAATCATGCTCCAAAAATATGTCTCCTCGCTTTTGTATGTCATAGCCAACAATCATCATCTCAGCACAACTGAAAATGCTCATACAGCCAACATGTTCCGCATGACCATCGGTACATATAACACCTTTTATTTCCCTTTCGGGTTCATGCACTCCTGCAGACTTAAGTGATGACAATAAATTGGGACCATTCCAAACGGATCCTGGATTCACTACAAACGCGCCTGAGGGACCACGAATTAGGACAGTATTACATTTGCGATAAACATGATCAACTGATGATCTCGAATAGCAACCCTCGTGCAGCACATTAACTGTGTATTCATCTGTACCCATCACAATACAAGTTAAATGTTCAGCTATTAAGCTCTCACCAAATCTGCACGTGACTATATTTCTCCAGCACAAAGAGGATCTGAAAGAGATAAGATAGGAAAACAGAACAGACAGACGAATAAGTCATGAGGCCGACAGTAAAACAAATCGACAAACATGATGCAGGCGCTAAACCATTCAGAACGCGAAAAAGATCTAGGGTATTTTGTGTTGCAGAATAGCTACTGCCACTTCTGTGTAATCCTCAAATGTCAATAATAATTTACCCAATGTAAAAGTACAATAAAATTGCAACTAGGGACTAATTAAGTACGTTTGATTATCCAGCGTCGTACTTGACGACACCGGAAAATACGTTGAGAAAATGAGAGCAACTCAACCGACATGTGCTTGCCCATGCACTAACCAGCCAGCCGCAACTATTTTGTAGTTGATTTTATCATTTATCTATCCAAACACTTACTAAAACATGAGCAGGGAGAGATGTCATACAAAATAACAGCAACAATAGGAACACGACTGAAATAAGAGGAAAACTAAACGGAAACAAAAGTGGAAATGGGTTACTGGAGAAACAACATCGAAAATCCTCCCAAAGAGCCTTCACCACTTTGTTTTACTTTTTAGTAGCAGAAGAAATAAGAAAGCTGCACCAATGTTGTCACTAGTTTCGGTATTGAACCATGTCTTCTATTTTCTCAAACCAAGTTGCGCTAACTCTTAGATGCCATTTGGGTCAAGGGGTACCTATGGATTCTAACTTAACGAGTATATTTAAGCCCACGGCGCCACGTCATACGCTGACCACCTCTTTTGCTTCTTCTATTCAGTCTCAGGGTGGTAGTACAGGAAATGCCTAACATGTCCCAGTCACCATCCAGCTTCAGAATCAATTACATGTCTCTACTGGGTGCTTACAATCCTACGGAAACAGCGGTGGGCAGAAAAAAACAGTCGCCGGACACCCTCAGCTCGGAGGCCGTTTTACAGGCGTACAGCTGAACAGCCGATAGCGATGAGTCGTTTACCCAGCCTTTTACAGAAATACTAACGTTAGGACGGCGCCCAAATTGAACTAGATTGGCTTATACCTATCTGGTACCCGATATGCAGTCGAAAATCTCATTAGTCACATTCCCACTAGCACACACAACTACCCAAGTACTTTTCGACAACTACCGATTTCCTTTGAAGAGTGGGTGGAGATACATGATTCTGATAATCTTGTAAGAACACCACCCGAATGGCACGAAAAACATACCATACTTAAGAATATTGAACCTTAACTGATTGATTGAGTGCATTCAGGTTGCCTGCATGTTGTTACACAAAATGATATAATCCGTACACCCAAGATGGAAGTTTTCCACCTAATAACATCACCATCGCAACCACAGCAAAGTCGACGATTGGTAAAATTGTACAGCTCTACGTAACCCAACTGTTGGTTTGGAGCAATGGAGAACGGTGGCTTAATGCTATCACTGTAACTGAGGTGTTAAAACACAGGGCTTCCATGATGTTTACAAGCTTTTCAAGGATATACCTCTACAACAAACAATCCAACAGCACACCAGTGTTCAATGAGTCGAAGACAGTCCTAATAATAAGAAATACCACGATCGCTTTTCCTCAATACACATGACATGACAGTACAAAATGGCTGCATTTCATAGTCATGACCGATAGCTGCTACTCTGACGTGGCGGTAGGGCTTGTATATCAAGATGGGCCAACGAGCTGTGCTGGTGGAATGCTTGTCCCCTCGAAATCCTACCATACCTGAAAGGTCAGTTGGACAGTGGCTAGACAAAAAGCAGTTAGCCTTACCCTTAACATGTTCTCAAACAAAATAATAATGCATTATGATGGCTTACATCAGTCGTCAGTGGTTAGTGGTGATCCAAAACAAAAAAGACGTAATCCCGACTAATACAGACCGATTTTCACGGCATCGGAAAAGCCGTACGTGACAGACCTCAAGCAGATGTCTCCTGGGTCCTGCGGTCACGCACTAACCCTTCTTTTTTAGGTACCTCAAGAAGACCTAGTCTTCCACGGTGTTGACAGCCGGGAAGTGTCAACCGACCTCACAACTGTCAGTGCTCAAGTTCTTTCAGACCACTATCTACCTCTCTCATCCCTACCTCCTAATCTCAGTTAACAACTCCACATCATCTTTAATTTCTTCTGGCTTTTCAGCTTTCGAAAACGATCTGAGTCCACAGAACAGCATCACTGGTCTCCTCAAACCACGCTCCAAATTACACAGTGGAGCCACCAATGTCTGCAGCCTCCTTCAAATTGACTAACAACCTTCATTGGCCAAAACTCTAGCAACTCAGGTCATGGATGTGAGCTATGCCTGTGAGACACGCATACAGGACCTAATTGCGGTTATTTACTTAATCTCTTCCGGCCACTGTGGTGAGTCCGCAAAATTCACCCGTCCAGTTTTTCGAAATTCGATGGTTAGTTTTGCGGCCTCGCTTGTGTAGGTATAGCATTAAGCATTAGGCCAGAAACCTCACTACTAGACTAGATCCCAGCTAACAGTCGCCTATGCGCTGTCTGGTTAAGAACTGAAAGGAAGTGAAACTCACCGCTTTCTCTTCGTAATCTCTGCTTACCCGTCCACTGGCTGCAGTTCGGATGAAGTGAAAGATGTTCAACCGAAAACTATCTAGCCTCCTGAAAGCGAAACGTTCAGACGTAGTTGTCGTTGTTGTAGGTGATTTCAATGCGCAGGTGGGTAGTGTGTCAGGCAGAAATGTGCTTACGTGCCACTTCCGAAATCCTGGCTGAACGAACAGATAACGATGATAGCCTACTACGACTGAGCTAAGATAACCGTTCATTCCTAGCACAAACTTCAGATATAAAGAAAAATATTGTCTGATATGGCGTCCACCGAGCTCAACTAAGCGATGGACACGAATAGGCTATATTGTTGTCATCGCTGGAGAGGGTCGGTGGAAGAATATCGCTCCTTCTGGACCACGTGGTTGGATAGCAACCACGTGAAGTTCGAGTGCGTATATGCCTGCGCCTCAGTAGACGTGGAAAAACTTCAGGAATAAGACCATTACGAGTGCAGGTTAACAACGAAAGCACTAAGGTTGCTTTCAGTGAGAAACTGGCTAGGCAGTTATCGGAACACAACACTATCACTCACCTAGACAAAACTTGATGCCATCTCATCTGCTGTGAAAACAGCGTTAACCGTAACAAACTCTCTAACTGGTTAAAAAGCGTCAGTGGATATCGGCAGCTTTTTCTGAATTAGTGGATGCACGTGAACATATCCGCCGCAGGCTCTGAGTACAATGAGGAGCGAACGCAATTCAAATGCAGACTGACAAGAAGTTTGCGCAATGACTGCGAACAGTGGTGGGCAGCGAAGGCTAGAGGTGGAAAAGGCAGCAGCGATAGGTAACAGTAGGCAATACTTTAGACTTATTAAGGAAACTGGGGCGAAAAGGTCAATAGTCAGTGAGATTATAGTAGAGAAGGATGGGTCTGCGATTCACTCATAGGGGAGACGACTGGAACGATGGGCAGGACACTTCGATGAACAGTTTGACTGACCTCCACCTACTATTGCGTTGTCCGCTATCCAGTCGGATCCTGAATCGAACACTGAGGTCCCCGTACGCACCCAACACTTTCAGAAGTCAAGAAAGCGGTAGGTAACCTGTAACGAGGGAGGGCAGGAGGACCAGGACTACTCCTTGAGGTATATAAGGACGGCGGTAGAGTGATTTTAGTCAAGTTGACTGAAGTATTAACAAGTGTGTGGGAATCAAATATGATCTCCTCTAGCCCGTCTCAATTACTGATTACCCCAGTCTTCAATAAAGACGACAAGTCCTGTGATAACCATAGAAAAATCAGCCTGATGAAAATAATGTCTAGGATTCTAGGTTCTATAATCATTAGACGCCTGAGTGGACCTCAGGAACAGCAAGCCCGAGAAAATCAAGCAGGCTTCAGACCTCGCCATGGGTGTATTGACCAAATATTTACACTCCAGGTTCTTGAACACAGGCATACTTACCAAAGCCCGACAATAGCTGTATTTCTCGACCAGAAAGCGGCATCTGACTCAGTCGATAGAGAAGTCTTGTGGTAATGTTTCCCACTGAAAGGAGTACCGAATAAGTACATCACCTTATTAAAGGCTCTTTGCTCGAACACTCGTGGGGGTGTTAGAGCCTATAGTGAGATGTCAGGTGAATTGTGTACGTCGAGTGGGGTCCGTCAACAATGCCTACTTTCAATTCTTATTCAGTCTTATCACAGACGTCCTTATAGAGGTATCCCTCTCGGCATATGACTACAGTGGGAACGACCTAATCACAGGGGCTGTTTTGTAGACTCAGAATACGCTGAAGATATAGTCCCGTTAGGTGAAGACGCTGATAAGATGCAGAGTATTCTGGACATTATGAGTAGCAATCTGAGAATGTTTGGGATGCGTTTCTCACCACCCAAATACAAATTGTTGTTCCAGAACTGGTCTTCAACGATACAGTAGAGAGTCAAGTGGTTGAGCGCGTTGAACACTCCACTCATCTGGGAAGTTGGACCAGCAATGGGGCGTTTGTCAGTGGTCGACGAAATCTCTGGACAGATCGAAAGTCTCGGTTAGCCGTTGCTAACTTACGCCAACTGTGACGCCGCCGCAATGTTTGATTGTCTATTAAGAATGTAATGTGCTACAGTCCGCTCTCTCCTACTATATGGCTTTAAAACATGGATCTTAAAGATAATGAGAAGTTTTCACGTGTTTGACCACCGTTGCCTTCGTAGCGTAGACCGTGTTTCGTGGTGCCAACACATGAGTAACGCAGAAGTCGGGTGTACAGTTTTAGGGAGGGAGGAGAGTAAAGTGAGTTGATGCGGTTGTGAACATCCATCGACTGAGATGGCTGGCACATGTGTTACGTATGTCTAGTCACCGCCTTGTTCGTTGGCTGAAGTAGGTTTAGGCTGGAATAAGGTAAGGGGTGGTCAGACTAAAGCATGACATCAATGTTGAAATCCTTGACTGTTCATCTGAGCCACGTAGAGTGATGCAGACTAGCCGGTTGGGGTCCTTGGGACAATGGCGCAAGCGTATACGCACATAACCCTCATCTTACCCACTTAATCATCTCATTCCTCCTTCCTCTTTTACTACTTTCTACTTCTACTTCCTTTGACCAATTTTTCTTTCATTCATCTTCCATTTTGTTGTCTTGTTACTTGATGTGCTGATATAAGATGTGGTAACTTGGACCGTTAAGGAATAATGTCCTGTCCTATACTGATCTTGATGATGATAGTGATGCAACACCCTCTGTCCTTCACGCTCTGTCAAACAGTACAATCAGTCAGAAAAAAATCGAACTGTACTGAGCAACCTTGCCCACATTCGTGCGGCAGGCAATAAGCTACACCTTTCTGGCGGGGGTGAATGATATCACTTGGCTGCCCAAACTCCAGTAAGTGAAGCAAGGTTTGAACCTGTGACCCACTGGTTAGGAATCATTTCCAATAGGCCACAGCTCCACAGTCCAACCAGTGCCTCAACTAGTGTCAGTATCTTCAAAAAGAGCTGTATGAATCGCTGAAGTCAAACCCCTAGTGGTGCTTCAGAATATGAAGTGAATCAAGGATCTCTGTCTTTTCAGGTGGATTTTTTAACTGAACACGGAGCACACAATACAACTCGATTTTGCTGAAGTAGTACACCAGCAGCAAAAGCTATTCCCACAACTCTCTAGGTGTCTACCTAAACTGATTGGTGTGTCATCTACCTAAGGGTATGTAAAAGTGATCTCGGGCTTTTTCTGCCAGCGGCTTGGATGAACTAGAAAAACTAC